GGGAATTGAAAAGAATATCAAATCCAAACAGGTTGAATGTTGGCGGCAGACTGGAGACGATGTGTTCTTTAACCAGCCTTTGAAAGCACCTCATCATGATGGGAGTCAGTAGTTGCTGAGTGAGGTGACCTGAGGCTTCTTTGGGACCAGAATGACTTAGGCAGACTTAAAGCATGCTGGCATTATGGATCGGTCCAGCCAGGTGTTAAAAATGTCTGTAAGAACACCAGGAAGCTGCACACTCCTTCTACACGCACCCAGGTATGTTATTGTGGCCTGTGTCACAACCAATGACACTGCGTTATTAGAAATAGTAATACTGTGTGATTGTAGCTAATAAAGGTACCATTGTATTCTAACCTGTGGATATTTTACACAGTGAACGATGTATCACTCAGGCTGGATTCACTCTTCTGTCAGAAGCATCTGAATGAACAGAGACACATTTATTTGGTTGGTGATTAATAATTTTGCTGATAGTCATAGTCTAACTTACTAAATTGGTGAAAGGCAACGGAATTTTTGTCATGATTTTATTCAAAGATCTAACCCACATGCAGAAAACCAATCTGAGAGACCAGGGGAAGGTTTAACAGGTTTATTGAGAACTGGTAGTGAAGGGTCCAGTGCTGCTCTGAACACCGGCGAACCGGGATTGAAAAGAGACAACATATTCTCATTATCAGTTCGTATGAAATCGTACGAAAAGTTATGCACAGTATTTCGTGGGTTTTTGACGTTTTTCCTCGAAAAAACATATCAGTGTGCATGCGCAGCCAGCCAGACGAAAAAAGCAGATCAGCGGATGGACGTAAAACTGGGACGGACGAGCTTTCGACAGTGCAATGATTACTTCATGATGTCTCTCACTAGGTTGCTTGCTGTTTTGTATGTTAGGGTTAGGGTTAATTGTATGTTAAATTGTATGTTATTGAATGGTGCGCAAAATGCACATGCGCACTGATATCTTGTCTCGAGGCAAGACGTAAAAATACGACGAAATACGACGAAAAAAACGTCAAAAACCTACAAAATACTGTGCATAATTTTTGGTACGATTTCATACGAACTGATAATGAGAATACACTGAAAGAGAAGGGGAAGTTCCTGTGGTTAGTTCAGGTTCAGTGGGAAATTTGAGCTTCGATTTGCAAGAGGGAGTATAGGCCACAGGACTCACATTTCCAGAAAGGGTGTCATTCATTGAATCCAGTCGGTACGGGTTGTTCCAGAAATTGGTTTGCTCGTTGGAGGGCAGACAGGGTTTACCCAGTTTAAGTTGTTTCCTTGAGGAACGGAGGAGCTGACTGCCACTTAGATTTCCTTTGGTACTTAAAGGTACACTATGCAAACGGTGTTGGTTTTCCAGCGAGGCTCCCCCCAGAGGGCGAAAGTAAAATTGCACTGTCG